TTGTTTCTTTTAATTGATAACTTTATAATTTTTGTTTCTTGTTGTTTCTCCATGTTTCTTGTTGCTAATATTCATAAAGCCACATTTATTATTAAAGGTGTTTTAATATACATATCTATACATAGATTTTCTATTCCAAATAAGTGTGTAGCACATATAAATAGAAACCTAATTCTAAATAACCATAAACAACATGATACCACAAAATGAAATATGATGCAAAAAAAGAAACACGATGCAACAAAAAGAAACATATACGATGCAACAAAAAGAAACATAATGCCACAAAAAGAAACACGATGCAACAAAAAGAAACACATACATGCAACAAAAAGAAACAAAAACAACATATGAAAGTATTACTAAGAAACAAAAATAACATAGGAAAGTATCACTATAAATAAATAATTCGATCTATTATTTCAATGTATTACATTGATCTGTTATGGAGTATATTATTTGGCTTTGGATCTTATCATTCATTCTTCTTTTTATACATCTTGATACAATTCTTCATACTTGATTCTCTTATCTTCATATTTCTCGTTGATCTTCTCAATCTCAATGTCATTCATTTTATTTTTTGTATTTCTTTGCCTTTTTGTGCCTGCAATGAGATCACAACCACTATGACCCAAATATGACAATAAAGTAGGCAAAAACTTTAGCTTATACAACAAAGTATATCTACAATAATATGACAACAAATAGATTTATAGTCACTATAAACATAGTTTGAATTACCTTTACACCTGCAAGGTAGTTGCAATATAATTTTTACATGAAAAAGAGAAGAGTAATAAGAAGTATTATTCAAGCATAGGCAGATACTGCCCTCTGTATAGACATAGTAAGACAAGATTACCACCTCAAAATTTAGCACAATCAATGATTAAATAATTACAATTTTATAATAAAAAACTACCTATCTAACAGACCTCATCAATTACCTTTGATTTTACATGAAAAAAGTCAGAGCTAAATTAATGACACAAGTCACTAGATATGATGACTTTTTTCCAGAAAATAAAACATAACCAAAATATATAAAGTGCACATTCCATAGTAAATCATTAAGACACATTGAAATAAACTCAAACAACCACCTACTGCTAAGCTATCCTCTGCTCTAGAATTGTGTTACACATTAAATTAAAATAAGTTTAACAACACAGAGGATAACCACCATTTCGGAAGAGCCACACATTTATTTCAGAACAACACAGTTTATGCCTAAAAATTAGGTGCTAAGCTATCCTCTGCTCCACACATACAGTTGATATTTTATAAGAAAAAAATCACAAGTGCCATGATAAGTTTTAAAACTTCACAAGAAGAAAACTCACCACACAAATGAAACAATGACTTCACAGCTTTAGTATATTCTCCACCCAATTCCCTTATCATCTACTTCAGAAATCGAATGACCTACCTGCAACAAAGTAATTCCGGTCCATAAACAAAAAGTTGATATTCTGCAATCGACATTGGAAACATCTTTTAAAAAAGTTAGCAATAAATTAAAAGATATGAAGATAAATATTTTGCCAATGAATTCCTATAAAATATTGACTCCTCTTATCCCATGTTGAATTGATTCCAATAAAATATTTTAAGAGGCCAATGAATTCCAATAAAATATTTTAACAAGTAACTAGTAGGCTAACCATGACCACCACATGTTAAATTGATATGCATACAACAACCATCACAGTGCGTGTTGTATGCATTACACGCCTCTTTCCAAGCGATAAGCCCTCCTAGCAAACGTAGAGAAGAAAAATCGTTGAAGGTCGAATGGGGCTAAGGCAAACCCTATTGGTTTCTCTCACTAGATTCACGTTAATCGGAAACAAGAAATAAACCTTAACTATATGAATTATAACAAAAATTAGTGAAACTAAAATATTGAAAATCTTAAACACACACCTGCGAATAGCTTTTTTTCGTTTTAAACGCGTACCGTTTTTTTGAACAAAAAAACACGTTTAAAACGAAAAATAATGTCGGTCCGTTTAAAAAGGAAAAAAAACTCCTACTTCCCGTATAAAACATATTTTTTCCCGTATTTTACTAAGAATAGAAACATGAATTGATCAATTGAATAAACACATTAAATGCATATGAGATCAACAATAGTGTAAAACCAAAATTAATAAATACAATACAATTATTAAATACAAAAATTAATTGCATGGCGGCTTAAGCTTGCATCCCTTAATTTACAAAAAATAAAAACATGAATTGATGAATTGAATGAACACATTAAATCAATATATAGGGGATCAACAATAATTTAAAAGAAAAAAAGAAAAGCTCTTCCATGTGACCTCATGTTTTTGTATTGCTAAAATACAATTATTAAATACTAAAATGAATTGCATGGAGGCTAAAGCTAACATTCTTAAAGACTAAAACTTAAAATACTACAAAGTATTAGATTTCTGATGTTTTTCCAAATAAGCATGTCAAAATTAAAGTTATTCTAAACAAGACATTTTTTAGTATAAACTTTTACACATAAATAATAAGAAGCGTGCGTAGCAGTCGCATATGGCATCCGTCATCTTGCTGAAAATGATGAATTTAAATTGAGTGTTATTTGATGATCATATAAAGATAAACATTTTAACTTAGGCTTAATCTATATTTTATGTCTTATTTGTTGACATTTGTTTACAAAGTCATGTCTTGGACTTAATTACTATTTTTATTTTTATCATCGACTTATGCAATTAAGAACTATTCTTTTATGTAGTAATGAGATTTGCAACTTGAATATGTGTAAACTTTTATTTCTTTTTACTATATATGTTATTTTGTGAAGTATATAATTTAAATGTTCAAAATAGTACCCGTATTTTTTGTCCGAATTTTTGTAACAGATATCGTATTATACATGTATACGTATTAACACATTTTTTAAAAGTCAGCGTTTTTTTGAACGTATTTTTGACCGTTTTTTCATTAATGTTACCGAATAAAACGCGTGTGTATTAAACCTCGTTTAATTCCCGTACCGTATTTAATTAACTTAGGTTATAGCATCTTCGGCATTTGGCTATTTAAAATTGAAAACATTGTTATTAAAAAGCACACAACGTTGTGTTTGAATTGTAAAGAGCTAAAGTTGATCTTTGGCGTGTGACAAATTCATAAACGCGTCGAATAGAAAGCAATCATATGGGGGTAACTTGTGTCATGCTGTCATGAGCTGGTGTTGTAGTTAAACAATAAAATTAGTCAAATCAGAGAGTGTTTGGATCTGATTCTTAAAACTGATTCTGCTCTTTCAGGGAGCAGAAGCAGAAGTTGCAGTGTTTGGGTGAAAGTGCAGAAGTGATTCTGATGCTCTAATTTACTCCTAGAATCAGTTTTTTTAGAAGCTGGGGGTGACCAGCTTCTGAAAAACTGATTCTGATTCTGCTTCTTCTTTAAAAAAGAAGCAGAAGCAGAATCAATTCCAAACACCCCTCAATATTTAATCTGACGCAGATCAATAAAAGAGAGGGGAAAGGTTGTTTTTTGGGTAATCAATGCACTAATGCAGAACATTATAAAAGTAAAAACACTCAAAATAAAACTGATAACTTTGAAATCAAATACAAAATGACAGGGAGATACTACATGATTATCAATCTTTCTTAACACGCAGTATACTAAACAAAGAAACACACAAGAGTAATGTTGAATCCAATGACAAAATAAAGACCAATAAATTTGTAAAACGTTCTATCATGCATGTTGAGATTTACCAATAAATGTCGAGTGTGTTTCAAAAAACAAAGAAAATAATTAATAAAAATTAATTAATTAAATGACTAAAGAAAACAGAAAATAGATACGGCGGCTACGCACGATGTCCTTAAAACGTATTCGTCGTCTCCCACGATGCTAGAAGCGTTGTACCGATCGTTTCCTAGGATACGGCGGCTAACGAACTAATGTTTGAGAACACAAAGAAAGTTCCGGTGAACGGGAACAAAGGTAGAACGACACCAAGGAAATTTTCGGAGTAGCTGGAAGTGTTTTTAGAGCTAAAAACTACGTGCACATTGGTTATGAACGTGTAAGAACGTGTGTTGTTGCAAGCACCTGCCAGCTATTTATAGGAAGATTTGTGGTGTGTTAACCGAGCTTTAATAGACTACCTGAACGTTGCACATAAATGTCCAGCACGTTGGGTATTAATATGTCGAAAAACTGTCCATTTAAAGAAGCATTAAAATATAAGAATGTTGGGCATTAACTTTCGTAACGGCTGATAATTGTGCGACCATAACCCCTCCATGGTGTTCTGTCCGGAAGAAGCCACCAGAAGACCTCATGGGCTTCTCGTTCCGAAGCTAACAGAGACCCTATCAGGTCTTCTGGTTCGGAGCAGTTCTGTCGAAACGTTACGGTAAGAAACAAAAATTAAATTGTATCATTGAATGATAGATTTTCGGACGGTATTCGTGTCCGCAGGTCGCCCGCGCACACGAGTCGCGGTTTTTCTTCGCATTTTCGGGATTTGATCGACACCCCACTCCGCGCGAAGAGAGCCTTTCCCCGTGGGAATCTTAACTTCTTCAAAGAGGGTTCCCTTTATAAGGGAGTGAAAATCTCTTGGGTTTTGCGGTGTGGGATAAATCCCACTAAAAACCCATTCTATTTCCCAGTTTTTCCATTTCAACGAGTGAAATTCGAGAATCAATTTCTCATTCACCTGTTATCCGTTTTGAGTGTACCACATATCGAATTGTAGCACTTAGCAAGGACAATCTGAAACCACTTTGTCCTGATCCAAATCGGAAGTGGACCCCACTCAAAATATTACCCTAAAATGACTATTTATTACAATTTTTAACACATTTTTTCAACACAAACAAATATCCCATATACAATCCAAATTACAGTAGGTTTACGGATAAACTACAAATTACTACTCTGATTTATGTTTAACCCGCAATGTAACAATGATTGGAAATAAAAAATCAATTAACAAAAAAACAAAAAACCGGACACATATATAAAATGGATCTAATAATTACAAGCATTAATTTAAATATTCTGGATTTTCTCTCTCTTTAGAGCCATGAATTTGGCTGATATTTCATCGTAGTCGGGAAGCTTAGGATGGACATGGTCCGGGAATGAAATGGACCGGGCGATGCTATCCAGTAGACTCTCTTCATTGGGACTTTTGGGCGGCAGAGAGACTCCGGCCGCCCTCAAATACGGCGGCGGTGGCGGCCCATTCTGTTTCCTCTTCCCGTTTTCTCCACATCTTATCTCCCTTTGATCTTCACTTATTGATAAAGCAGCAGTCTTTGAAATGAATTTCTTTTCTTCCTCTTTTTCATCGACAGTACATTTGTTATAAACTATGAAGGTGAGAAGGCAAGGCGATTTGAACAAGAAGAGTCTTTGATCAATGCTGCCATTATTGGACTCCAATTCAGCAATCTCATCGACCATTTCCTGGTTCATCTTCCCCAAATTAGATCTGTACCACTTTCTTTGCTCATCTTTTTGGTCTAAATTTTCAGCACCACTTTTAAAGATTCGAGGTTCCTCATTTGCTCTCTCTTCCTGCCATTTAAATCCCATCATATTTGATCATAACCTCATTTTAAAGTAAAAACAATATGGTACATTTTTTTTACCCGCACGGGTAGCTCAGTTGGTTCAGTGGTGGGAAATTTGGATCAAGTGACCAAGGTTCGAAACCCGCAGCAACCGTGTGGAGGTCACAGAACCTGAAATAAGGCTGGGCCTTTGGTGCGCACGGGAAAAAGGTCTACCATCATTGGACCGACTGAGTCATCGTGATTAACATCCTCCCAAAAATCCTGTCGGATCGGAGTATGGGGGGCTGGGGTGGGAGATTCCACCTTTTGGACCAAATATGGTACATTTTAATTTATTCATTTAATCTATTACATTAAACCGGATTGAGACCCTCTACTGTGCGGCCTAGGATCATAGGATAGAATAAATGACTCATCTAGATGTGAATCTAAAGATTTCGGCAGTTGAAATTCAAAATTTCCTTTTGTACACCTTCTTATACACATCAGTACACCCTTGTGTCTGTGAGAGTTTTTGTCTGTGAATCCCAATCCACAGACAAAAATATGCTTGTTTTGTCTGTGAAAAATTCTACAGACAAAACAAGCTTGTTTTTGTCTGTGGACTGTGATTCACAGACAAAAAAACTCTCACAGACACGAGGGTGTACTGATGTGTATAAGAGAGTGTACATTTGGTTGAAATTTTGTTTGAACGGTCCCTAAAAGAGTAAAAGCCAGACACCATACCTTGCTCAAAAACAAAGTAGAGGCTCCGGATCTTATTAACCTTTTTATGTAGTCGCGAATCGGGTCTATCGGCCCATGTCACCAACCCAACCTACGTTTTTCTATAAATAACTTGTAAATCCATGAACGCGTTCATACACAAACTTTAAATGATACTACACATTTCTTCTCTTTTCTAGCTCATTATATCTCTGAATTACTCCCTCCATCCCGCTAACAATGGGACAAAAAAGAGTGACACGCAAATTAATAAAAAGTGGTTTATGTGGTTGATATTGAATTGATAAAATAAGAATAAAGTAAGAATGATTTAGAGCCACACAAACGTTACCAAATTTGGTATGTGACAATCTTATTGGGACGGACCGATAAGGTAAAATGGGACAATCATAGCGGAACGGAGGTAGTATATATTTGGATCCCAATTCCCAACCTCCAGGGACTGACCTATAGTTGTTCAAAATTGTTCATGTGAACAATACAAATCTTAACTATTAATGTAAAAATACATGTATATGAGTGCTGGTGTTAAAGTTTAGATATGTATATGAACACTTAAAACTTACTCCGTATAAAGGCTCTGTTTGGAAACCAACGGATTGCTCAAACCGCCAATTATTTTACAAAGAAAACGCTACGTTTTCTAGCAGTTTGGCTGCCAACGGCCAAAAAACAAACGACACCAAAATAAATTTGAACCTTAAAATTTAATGTTGCTTAAAGTGTAACCTGCTTTTGCCATTCGGAAGTGTAACCCAACAGCAAGGGCCCTTGTTGAAAGCAACTTCGAGATATTTCTTCCACTAGCCTGTACTTCACTTCATCCGTTACACGCTTGGTGGATAGGCACTCTTGAATCTGTTTACATTGTTTTTGTACGAAAGAAAATAAGACTCAGTTAAGTTAATAGATAAAAGTCTAATTTCTGTATAAAAAAAGGATGACATCCCATTCCTGAGGGGCCCCCAACCCCAATTGGACGGTACGTTGAGAGGATGTAAATTGGACTATAATATCCCAATCTGACAGATAAAGAGTGAGGCTATGTTCCGGTACTTGCAGAGGCCCTATGCATTTTTAGCATAATAACTCATCATCGCAGTTATCGGGATTCAAACCCGAAACCTAACCCTTGTGACATTCCCTTGCTACGACTTGAGCTACGCCCACCGGTAAAATCTAACTTGTGTAATGTTATGACTTGTGACCATAAAAAATAGCATGAGAAATTGCTATTAATATGGTAAATTATGTGGACATGTGGTGATTCCAAAAATATGACTTACTACTATTTACCGTATGTACTATTTTATTCCTGAATTAATGGTGTTTTTTCATTTATGGTAACTACACTCATGCTATTTTTCCCTCTTCAATTTAATTATTACTCATACAAAGGCATATTTAATTAAATTTGTTAGTCATATACGTTGTATTAGACATTCATAAATATTTAGTCATATAGATAATTAAATTTCCCTAATGTTATATTGTTATGATCATACATCTACTATCGTGTGAAAAATAACTTTGAAACATCAAATGAAACAAAAGTATTTAATACCGAGTATTTTTATATAATTTGGCTAACTTGACAACTTTATGTTCAATTCATGGTCAACCATTTCAATAAGAAGTGTAATTTCGGAAATGTTGAATTTATTATTTCACTGTGTTATGTGCACGATTAATTATAAGAGCATCCACACTCATGCTTCTAACATAATATGATTTTTTGTGATTCTTACCTTTTAATATTTGTCACATAATTGTTTTAGAAATAATCTTGTCCCCTCTAAATTACCATCAACCATCATCCCGAAATAATATAATATTTTGTGGGTCATTTATTAACTAATTAACTCTAACTTCACAAATAATCTCAAAATAATTCGATTTCATATTTTGATCTCAGATTATTCTATCAATTAATCGTGTCAAATAATCTCTCTCACTCAACCATGCTTCCTGAAATAAGCTGACATGTCACTAGAATAATCACTTACTAATCTCATGGATGGTGATGCTCTAATTATCACATAAGAGATTTGACGCGTTCTTTAAATCAGGATGAATTAAACCTGAGTATTGACGAGATTGCCAGGGAGAAGCTCAAGAGCCACCTTCGCAAATCTGTGACCATAACGTTGTGCAAAGAGCTTCCTTATTGATAGAAGCTCCGGTAGGTCCCCCAATCTCGCCGATGCGTATATGAGAGTTGAAACTGCTTCGTTAATGTCATTTGGACAGTCTCTGTGACAAAAAAAAACATTCTAAGACACAATCAGTGTTGGGCAGTTTATTTAGTTTCAATCATTTTTTACATACAATATATAGAGTCAAACTTACGGTGTACATTACAGAAAAATTTATCTTGTTTTCGTAATAGGAGTGGAAGTCAAAGTGGGAAGAATAAATATGGACGGAGTACACTTTTAAATTTATAACAAGTTAAGAGTTCAATCATAAATAAGAATAGTCAAATTCAGGATTTGACTTTCACGATCTTAAATGCATTCTACTAATGCATTCTATCATTTGATGATTACTGCGTAGTATGTGACACCATCATCATCATTACCCAAGTGTCGCAAAGGCTTTCCACTTTGGATAGTCGTTTATAAGCAGTTTTACTCTTGTACTAAAGAACAAAGAGATTGTTTCCGGGTGACTCACGGTGAAAATCGACTTAGTATATAACACCACAAATATAAAATTTCGAATGTTTTAACATTTCTATCATAAATACCCAACAGTAAAGCATGTTATTAAAATCTATTTTCTCGATTTAGATTAATATTTTAAATCCTTAAAAGTCAAAGGTAAAAGAACTTGTCCACAAAAGATCGAGTCAAAACAAAAACTCAATTGTGAAATGGAGTTGGTATAAGAAATGCTCACTTGTGCTTCCGGATGTAGGTAAGATTAATGAGGAGAAAATCACAATAACTCTCCAACATATCATATGCTGCCACCAGATTTTCATCCATAAACAGGTGCTCAACCTAAAACAATGCAATATAATTCAACTACTTCAGCAATAATAATAACAAGAGAGAATTCCTTAAATATAGGAGTAAAAAAGTTTTGAAATTCCAAAATAGGAGTATTATGTTTTTTATTCTTTGAATAATTAAGAGTAAAATTCTGCCAAGTTTGGCATTATTAGCCTTTAAAACATGACATTTTTTTCCAAAGTTGACAGATTACTCCTATTTAGGGAATAAAAAACATGATACTCCTATTTTGGAATTTCTATAATAACAATAATAATAATCTTAATAATTTAATCATTTAAGAATAAGATAATGTGCATACCCTATCAAAGACAAGAGGATGGTGACCATTTCGAAGAAGCTCACACAAGTCCTCCCTTAAGTGCCTTGCTATGCAACTTCTCTTGTTCTTGAGCAGCTTCAGCCGGCACTGAACCCTTCCAATCAATTTCTTGCTGTAAAAATCCGCACCCCATTAAACCAAGAACGGTAAAAAGTTAAAACACAAAAGGATGATTTTAACTTGCAGTTTAAAGAATATAGTCTAGAGAACAAGTTTTTGGGCATAAAATTAATGAATTGAATTACCATTTGGAAGCTTTTCTCCAGCCAAAGAGTAAATCGAACATGGCTGTGATGGTGATGAGCTAGCCCATGAACTGAAAATGGAAGACTAGAAGGAACGATTAAAGAGAGTGGGACAGTTAAGTTTTTTTTTTTAACTTTTAGCTATATTTTTTTACATGTTATTCTTTCTTGCGTACTGGGTAGTTATTTTAGGATGGTGGGTTTGACAATCAATCATGCGATCGCATATTGTTATTTTAAATGTAACCTACATATTTCTTGCCATTTTTAGGCTTTAATTGTTACCCCTAAAACAACCTACTTCCTTTGTTCCCTTTTAATTGCAACAGTCAATATTTTACGTTTGACAACGCACAAATTTGACCATTAATATCTTTCTTTCTGGTAAAAAATTTAAAAAAAATCATATTTTGAAAATTTAGAATGACAAGAATTTAACAATATTTTTAAAAAATTTAATTTATAACATCAATTAATAAAATATAGTCAAAGTAAAATATGTGAATAATGCAAAAAGTCCAATGTTGCAATTAAAAGAGAACGGAGGTAGTATTTTTTAAATAATTTCTCAATGACATTTACTTCCCTGTAAAATATTCTACAAAATATTCTCAATGAAAATATATTCTTGAAAAAAATAAGGAGAACACAAAAAGTATACACATCGTGTCTTTGTGTACAAACCCCTGCTTATCTATGTACATAGTCAGCTCGTTTAGAAAAAGTCATAATATGTATATATACACTAACACACATATATACAAATGTATAAAAAGTGTTTGAGGAAACGGTCCAGCTCAGTTGGTCGCCGACTCACTCTCCCTTATGGGAGGTCTTGGGTTCGAAACTCAATGATCTGAGTTTCAGCCTAGATTACTCCAGCCTCTACCAACCCCCCTCCCCCAGACACCCCTTGAAATAAAAACAATGTATAAAAAGTGTACACTTTTTGTGTATGTCAAAAAAAGCTCAATTTTCTTAAACTACGGACTATAAAGTTTTTGTACACACATTACTCATCTGTGTCACTCTAAATCCATTATTATTGCGCCGCACTTTGTCAAAGGACGTTTTTTATTGAATCGTTATTTTTTAATCGATGTGGTTTGGAGTGATCGGGTTTGATTTAGTTCGATCTATTCCGGCCTATTAAGTATGGTCTGGTATGGTACAATGGTTATCTATTACTACCCCCATCCTAAATTGATTTGCAAATTTGACTTTTCTTGGTCAAACAGTTTCGTTTTATTGACTTAATTAGGACGTCAATTTTTATTTATATTCTAATTTGGGGTTTACAACTTTGAAAAGATTTTAATGTAGTTTCTAAATATGTAAATTTTAGTTATTAAAAATTAAATTAATTATCGATACGAAGCATTGACTATTAATATTGGTTGATCAAAAAATGTTAACTTTGCAAAACAATTTGGGACGGAGCGAGTATATGTGTATTTAGAAATTAGTTCAAATAGGACTAAAACTATGGCAAAAACCTAAAATAGGACTTGTTATGTTTTTATTCCAAAATAGGACCATATGAGTCCTATTGGAAACATACCTATTTTTGCATTCCATTCTTACCCTTCCATTAAATATGAATTAAAAATAGTCAAAAGCCATAATTAAATGTTTAATTCATAATAAATTCGAAAAAATTTCAAAAATTCGTAGAAATATAATTAAAAAATTTATAAAATTTTTATAAAATAAAAAATTCAAAAACTTTTTTTTTAAACATAATTTTATTTTTAAAAAAATTAATAAAAAATAGTAAAACTCCGTAAAAAAAATTTAAAAAAATATGGATGCCTTTCCCACCGCCTGTACTACCTCCCAGCACCACCACCTCCGGCCGATGAAAAAAATGCCATTTTCCCAGAAAAATGCCATTTTTTTCTGAAAATGCCAAAAAAGTGGCATATTTCTCTTTTCGAATGCCAACATTTTCATTTTTTTCTGCCATAAATATGGCATTCGTAATGAACTTGACATTTTTCCCCCCTGGTGACTGGAGGTGGTGGTGCTGAGGCAGCAGAGGCGGCGTCGATTTTTTTTTTTTGAATTTTTATTTTTTTTTATTTTTTTTTAATTTTTTTAATTTTTTGAAAAAAAAAATAATTAGATTTTTAGTATCGAATTGTTTTTCTTAATTTTTTTAGTATTTTTTACGAATTATTATTATTTTTTATTATTTTATTAGGAATTCAAACATTTTAATAGCTATAAGGGTATAATTGTCCAAGGTACACATAATTAGTCCTATGCAAACATAGTTTATTTTTTAGAAATTAGTTCAAATAGGACTAAAACTATGGCAAAAATCTAAAATAGGACTTGCTATGTTTTTATTCCAAAATAGGACCATATGAGTCCTATTGGAAACATACCTATTTTTGCATTCCATTCTTACCCTTCCATTAATTATGAATTAAAAATAGTCAAAAGCCATAATTAAATGTTTAATTCATAATAAATTCGAAAAAAATTCAAAAATTCGTAGAAATATAATTAAAAAAAATTTATAAAATTTTTATAAAATAAAAAATTCAAAAACTTTTTTTAAAATAATTTTATTTTTAAAAAAACTAATAAAAAATAGTAAAACTCCGTAAAAACAATTTAAAAAAATATGGACGCTTTTCCCACCGCCTGTACTACCTCCCAGCACCACCACCTCCGGTCGATGAAAAAAATGCCATTTTCCCAGAAAAATGTCATTTTTTTCTGAAAATGCCAAAAAAGTGGCATATTTCTCTTTTCGAATGCCAACATTTTCATTTTTTCTGCCATAAATATGGCATTCGTAATGAACTTGGAATTTTTTCCCCTGGTGACTGGAGGTGGTGCTGCTGAGGCGGCGGCGATTTTGTTTTTTGAGTTTTTATTTTTTTTTTATTTTTTTTTTAATTTTTTTAATTTTTTGAAAAAAAAATTAATTAAAATTTTAATATCGAAATGTTTTTCTTAATTTTTTAGTATTTTTTACGAATTTTTATTATTTTTTATTATTTTATTAGGAATTAAAACATTTTAATAGCTATAAGGGTATAATTGTCCAAGGTACACATAATTAGTCCTATGCAAACATAGTTTATGTTTTGGTCCTATTTGTGAAAAGTGAATGACTTTTAGTCCTATTTTGATAATTAACTCTTTATTTTTTGGTCCTATTTGTGAAAAGTAAATGACTTTTAGTCCTATTTTGATAATTAACTCTATGTGTATTTTGTAGAAATTTGATCCGGAATATCTGATTGCAACGTATCTACGGTGTTTTTATAATTCACCATTAAGAATCGCAACATATCTGCAACGCAGCCGCACCAATAACTTAATATCAACTTTTATTTTTTATTTCATAAAAACATAAAATTAATTCATACTTCATTGACCACAATATGCATGGCAGTGATCGCAATATTCGTAACTGCAATGACTGCGACCACAAAAACATTGCCCCATTCATTTTTCCTCTTTAGCACGTGCACGTCGTAAAATAGTTGTCCCATATAAGATTTGGCCATGTTTTAGGCCTAAGTTTTAGCACGTCGTTTTAGGCCTAAGTTTGCCCGTTTCAAATTTAGCGAATCATGTTGCTTTTTATGAGGTGGCTGACTCTAAGTCTACTCATAGGGTTCACGATTGGATCTGTAATTTTTGTCTGAAGATTGTCTTATGTGTTCTTGATTTTAATATAACGGTCCCTCCTTTATAATCATAAAAATTGGCCATGTTTTATAGCTAACAACCATTCTCACTTTCGTGAATTCAATATCATATCATTCTACCTTTTTGAATGTGGGGGCACTCGGAGTTGGCGATGACACTTTTTTTGGGTTAATGATTTCTATATCTTTCATATAATCTCATTTTTACTTAATAGTAGTGTCAACCCTAATTACTTAAATACAATACGAGAATTAAATGAGGTTTAATACGTACACGTTTTATTCAGTAATATAATATGAATCGGAAAAAACGGTCAGAAATTCATTAAAAGAAATGTTGATTTTAAAAAAACGTGTAAATAAGTATATGTGTATAATACGTTATATGTTACAAAAATTCAAACAAAAATATGGGGTAATATTTTGAACATTTAAATTATATACTTCACTAAATAATATATATAGTACAAAAAAATAAAAGTATAGACATATTCAAGTAACAAATCTCATTACTACATAAAAGAATAATTCGTAATTGCATAAGTCGATGACAACAATAAAAACAGTAATCAAGTCCAAGACATAATTTTGCAAAATATTGTCAAAACATAAGGCATAATAACATTAGAATGAGACTAAATTAAAATCATTATCTTTATATAATTATCTAGTAGCACTCAACTTAAACTCATCATTTTCATCAAGATGACGAATGACATATAAAAAAAGTTGTGTGCCTACTAGGAGTGGACTCGGGCCGGGCCAACCGGCCCGGAACCGGACCGGCCCACTACTGTGCGGGCCCGGACCGGCCCGGTGAACCGGTTGGTTGCCCGGTTCGGGCCACCCGACCCGGTGGGATGGCGGTTCGGGCTCAGGCCCTTCAAAAGGTGAACCGGCCCGGCAGGTTCGGGCCCGGGGTGGGCCAATTTATTATTATTATTATTTTTTGAGTTTTTTTTTAAGTTTTTGGATTGGGCTGAGTATTTTGGGCCATTTGAGGTGGTTAGGGTTGGTTTGGGGGTGAGGGGGAGGGTTGGGGGTTAACTAGGAATAGCCAAAAAAAAAAATAGAACCGAGGCCCGGCCCGGCCCGGACCCGGGGGTTACTCGGGCCGGTTCCGGGCCTCCCCTTCATGAACCGAGGCCCGGCCGAGCCGGAACCGGAACCGGTCCACCCCTAGTGGCTACTACGTTTATTATTGTTTATGACTTTATGTGTAAAAGTTTATACTAAAAAAATGTTAGGTTTAGAAAAAAAACTTAAATTTTGATATGCTTTTTTTGGAAAAACATTAGAAATCTAGTAGTATTTTAAGTTTTGGTCTTTTATGATGCAAGCTTTAGCTACCATGCAATTTAATTTAGTATTTAATTTAATATTTGTATTATAACAACACAAAAACATGGGATCACGAGGAGAACATTTTCACTTTTAAACCGTTGTTGATCTCCTATGCGTCTAATTCATTCATTCATTCAATTGATCAGTTCATGTTTCTCTTTATTGTAATATACGGAAAGATACATTCTATACAAGAAGTAGAAGTTGTTTTCCTTTTTAAATGGACCGATAATATTTTTTGTAATTCATTATAAAAGTGTTTTTTAGTCAAAAAATGGTAGGTGTTTAAAACGCAAAAAAGCTGACCAGTGTGCAACTACCATATTCGAGATGTGGTAGTGTGGTACACTTCTTTTTTGCAATAAAAGTGATAATCATTATGATGATGTCACTAAAAGTTGAACCAAACCGCACTTAAAGGTCAACGTAAGGCATGTTGACTACAACCCATCATCCTCCACAGAGCTATTCATGTAGGTTACCCGCACTTGGTGTAGATTTTTTTAGCAAAAGGGAATCGCTATTCATCAAGGTTTCCTATCTTCATTCCATTTTAAATTAATGAAATTTTGGCAATGTAAATGAAGAAACCTTAGTATATGATTTAGATCGGAAGGATTTACTCACGAGACTAGAACCCAAAGTTCAAAAACGTAAATCAAGAGAGGATATCACTATAGATTACAGAAAACCTCTGTCCAACTCGCTCAGTTCCATATTTTACTCCAGTTGAGACAAATTCAACCACATATATACGCAGTATATAGACAAACACCAAGTCTCAAATCTGAAATCCAAAATGGTTAAATTCGTGGTAGGGATATTAGAAACAAGGTCTAGGTGCCGCTATTAGCAAGTTTTTGCCTCATGTGATCTAGAGATGAGAACTTCACTAGGCTAGTGGCTTGATCGGGGGCTAGCCACGGATTCCCACGAAGTAGTTGAAATCGTGATGTTGGACCCCTAACTGTTTAAGCCAAGAATCCGCAACGCTTAAAAGAGACACCAGCCTCTCTTGCTCCTTCCCGCTTTTGTCGAATACCCAAACATCCCCTTGCATCTTATATGAAGCCAAACCAAATGGCGGGACCGGGATTCCAGCCCCGCCTTTTTGCTTCCTACTAACACTATTCAACTCATCATCAAGCTCTGATTCTGCATTTCAAAGCAGTGACAACATAACAATTGCATACCATAGGATTTTCAAGCGGGAATGGAATTGTAGTTAAATTGTAGATACTTGATGATCAAGTTGACTTGTAGGGTACCTTGAAAAGATGAGGATATTGTGTGAAATGTGAGAAAGGAAGTGGACAGATCCTTGCTGGTTCTTCCCATGGGAATATGGTATATTGGGTACCTGAGTATTCCTTGCATCATTAGTGACATCATTTATTCCATTTACCACATTGACCTACTCCTATATGTTGACCTTTTCATATAAGACTTCAATCTTTATGCTGCTTCAAAGCATACTAACCTCAAATGAGCACAAATGTACCAAAGAACAAACTACTTTTCTAAGGCATGTCACTTCCTATACATCACTCCACATCAAACAAACATAGAAACATGAAAAAATATAAAAGGCTTCTTATTAGGTTGAAAGACAGATCTGGGTAAAGTTGTGTTTTTTAAAGCTTAATACTTTTGTATAACTAGTCAGCAAAACTAATTGAACATTGCATCAAACCAGATGGTATAAACTATAAAGTATGTTCTGCTGTAGGAAAATAATAAACGTGTGAGGACCAGAGCTACAACACTTGAATGAATTTTAAACACATCATTAGAATGCCCACGGTATGGTTTTTTTTTAACTACATTAAAGAAGCAAGAGTATACCAAGCTACTGCCATCCAACTAGCAGGTGAAAGATCAACACTTCTTAGAGTCATAATTCCAGGATACCTTTGAGCTAAGCTAGTAATCTGTAAGAACAGAAAACAGACATATCAGATTGACCTAAAATACACAAAAAAGTAAAGAAAACAATACAAGTAATTTGTAGAGTCTGATATTAAGCTTGTTACTGAAAGAAGAAAGAACAATGTTCTTAAGAGCATAAACAATCACCTAAACAGAAGGAATACAAATTCTGTTTAGCTATGAGATGTACTCTATATACAAGTAATCTCAAAAATGAAAACATTGACATTTAAACATCATAGAACATTAGAACTGGCTTTTTATCTTTCATTCCAATTATAAAAAAAGTTAGAGGTTCAGCTAAGAGTCTGACATCGAAATATTAAAGAAAGAGGCATATAAATGTCATAGTGTTATCGGCACTTGAACAACCCGACCCGATCGGGATATATATAGTATATCTTGTGTCAATAGTCAATAAAGTTCTACACTATATAGAAATTTACAATCTCACGTTTAAACACGGCAATGTTCCATAAAAAAACTAGAGCTTGGGAGGGTCTTAAACAAAGGGAAAAAAGAAGATCAATTTGAAACTGTAAATCACATACCATATCCATGAGAGGAATTCTTCCATATGGAGTTGATCGCTCGAAGTACTGGAAATATAAAAAACCCAATCTAGAATTTGATTGCAAGAGGCCATCATACTCATCAGAAGAACTTCCGTCCCATCTCGACAGCTTGTCACTCTCGCTCTCATCGCTCAAGGAATCACTATATGAATCCCTCGTTTCACAAGAAGAATCACTTTCATCCCTACTTTACATTTAAAAAATGGCACGCGATCAGCGTTATCCCAAAATTACTGATTTCATCATCATCAAAGTTAAAAAGTAACCATCGCTCCACCTATAAAATTCTGTTACATGTAAGTTTGAGACGAACACCATCCTAAAAAAGACTTTGTCTAGACAAGCGAGGGTTGTCCAAACAAAGAGTGCAAAAATGGCACCTTAGAGAGTTTATGGAAGCACCGTTTGTGAAGATTTGAAGTGCAGATAGATAAGGAACAAAATACTGAACAATAGTTTCGCCGTTGTCCAAGCGAATCGGAACACCTGCCCCATAAACACTCCATTCATCATAACAGCTCCAAAGATCAGCCAAAGTGAAGTATTCATATCCCTCCCCACTCTCCATGGGACGATGCCACAGCCTATTAAGGCTCCCTACCTGACTCTGCTCACAATTCACATATGAGTATTAGACTATCAATAATTACCAGCACCCAGAATAAGTTATGATAAATCAAGAAACAAACCTTGGGCAAATACTGGGAATTGACTACAGGGGTGGTGCAATTCAAAAAACATTCAAGGTTTGATTGCATTGAGCTCCTGTCCATGTCAGATGAAAATGAATGCAAATTGCAGAAACCGCAGAAAGGATTACAGAAAAACAGAGGTTTTGAGCTTCCTCTCTCTGCGATGATCCGCCAAACAAAAGAGATCCAAATAAGAAACAGATGATATAAACCAGAACCGAAATTGAGAGGCAAATCAGAGAAACTATGCAAGGTAAAAAAAATGAAGAGATTCTGGAACTCTTTATACAAGAGAAACAGTAAACAAACTTTCACTTTTCGCAACTAATGAAGTTATTTAAGCAAAATACTGAAATCCGTAACTGAACAGTCTATATATCTACATACGGAGTATTATATATTTAATGTTATCATATAATATACGGATTAATTAATATAGAAATACTAGGTAACAGATATTTTAAATATTTCCATTTCTCTCTCTATCATGGAATAATTAAAATAGCGTCATAGTCAATTGAATAGGATTCCCGGTGACCGGAAAAGCAAGATTCCGGCGAAAATTACTGGTCTAAAAAGTCAAAACCCACGTCGGGTGAACCCAAAGGATTCGAATTTACCCGTAAAGATAGCACAAACCTGCGGCAAAGACAGACTTTTCTTCAAGTACAATGGAAACAAAACCGCCTTTTATGTTTTAATTTGTTTCTTTTTTTCCCGGGGAAAGTGAAACCGGCAGTTTCGGATAGCACATTTAGACGCGAAGATATATAGGGAGAAACATGGGATAGGAGTCAAGAAAAGGGGGAGAAATTGATGGGAGTTTGGGAATTACGTTTTTGCCACGCTATCAATCTAAGCGGTCTCTTGCGTATGGAGGGGGGGGGGGGGGGGGGGGGGGGGGGGGGAGAAAAGGGGTTTGAAAAGCAAAGAAAAGGACGAAGGTGACGATGGCGACGATCCCTTTCTCAACGGAATTTGATGGCGTCGGATAAATCGAATAAACTTTCTATAAAAAAATACTCCGTAAGAAAGAAATGAGTCAAAGCTATGGAGTAAAACAATGGGAACAAATAAATTTAAGGCAAGAAACCAAGAATAGATTAATAGAAGCAACATGTGAATAAATTCGTAAATCTCGATTGACTCTGTTTTTGCATAGACGCTGAAATTCTTGAAAATTATTGCGTGACTCGTGAGATTTTGTTAGTTCATACCCTTCTTATTTGTTTGCAGTTTTAAAATATGAAAGCTACGTTTCCGAGTTTTCTTATAATATTTCAAAACCACTTGGTATCTAAACTCCATAGTTTTTGAAAGATAAATAAATAAATGAGGTTTCTTTCAAAAATAATATTTTAAAATAGAACTTATTTATACAAATACGAATAATAATTACTACAATATAATTACTACAATGTGGTAACATAATAACTTATTTTAGATTACTGAAGTCACGACACTCAACATGAGCCGGTCCTACGGAAACCCTAGACGGGCGAGCTCCTTGACGATCTACTATTCTGGCTTCTTCTCTCAGATTGGTAAAGTTTTGATGATTGCGATGTTCTATGGACTTAAATGAGGTTTTGCTATTTTGTCACTCATTTTTTTCTTCATAGGGTTCAGGTTTTGGTCTGGCATCTTCTTTGGCCGAGAGTTAAGCTCGCTTCATGTGAGTGTATGTTTTGTTACTCCTAGCAATGTCTATAGGCGTTGTCTTCCTTGTCAATGTAACTGATCGAGTGGATCATAATTCATGGTTGGCAAGATAGATTCAACATAGTTCTTCTGAAGCTCCAAGTAATTAATCGGAGAAGAAGACAGCGCTCAACTCGATCTCCGACGGTGGTTGATCAAACTGATGATCTAGACAATTTCTACTCAATTGAGTTTTCTTTATGTGTTGCTGGTCAACCTAATTCTCCCTTTTCGGTGACCGGTGAAGCTGAACCTTTAATTCGTAATTTTTTATTTTCTCTATGGAGCAGCAAGAAGAACAACAAGACTGATAGACTAGACTGCATCATTGCAGGCTCAACGATCAGGAAGGATTTGAGGGATTTAGTTTGATACTAGAATATGTGTTTGAAATTGTTCAATATAGAACTAAAAGATATCCAAAGTGCAAAAACAAGACTAGTTATTGTCCAATTAGGACTTATTTAGTTATATTAAAAGAATAAGTTGAGTAAAACTTCTCCAAATACTACATCCTTCCCCAAAAAATTGTCATTTTCAAAACTTTGACTGACTATATCTTTTTATCGAAAATTATTTATAACATAAAAATTATATGAAAATACCCTTTGTTAAAAGTACTTTAATAAAAGTATAAAATTTATAATTTCCATAATATTATACTAATCAAAATCAATGTTCAAATTTTTTAAAATGACAGTTTTCTGGGACGGAGGTGGTATGTGTAAACGAGACCTATTTTTAAAATAAAACAATGAGGGACAGATATGATGGAGTAAAATAGTGGTCCGTAAAATACATCAAGTTGGGGTAGAGAAATATCCACCGTTAACGAGAGAGTGAGGAGGAGATGAATATGGTAGAGAAAATATCAACCCTCAGTTACCCCAAATGGGGAAAGAAACTTCGTAGTATAAAACTACCCGTAGTATAAATTTTCCACAAATGACGGTTTGGAATCAAGAGGATCTCAAAGCATCGAGATTCCAGATACACCCAACTTCTAGAAAGTCAATCTCAAAGATATGTGCTAAAAGCCTAAAAAGACCCATTTCTTTTCTTTTTTAAATATATACGGACAATATATTTAATTTGTAACTTCGAACTATATTAATTATTCTCTTTAACTTGTAATGCATCTTGTTTATTATGATTCATATGGACAATTACGTCATTTTGTGGAGTATGCAGTATGCACATTACCATATACTCCCTCCGTCCCTAAATAAAAGCATTTGTTTCCTTTTCGGGCCGTCCCTAAATAAAAGTTCTCTTTCCTTTTTTTGGCAAACAAAACAGTGCAAAACAGTGTCAAACAGTGTCCAAACAGTGCCAAACAGTACCAATCAATCCCACTTTCTTAAAATGTGTGGAAAATGAATGGATAATTTTATATAGGGACGGAGGGAGTATATCATGAGAAAATTCTTTAAATGGAAGAAACATAGACAAAATGCACAAACCACTATTTTTTATATCCAAAATAAGACATGTATACTTTTTATTGATGAAATTGTATGTTTTTATAAAGTTAGGCAAATCTTGTTCTAGAAATAAATTGTAGCTAACGATTAGTCCATGTTTTACGTACCCCTTTTATAAAAATATAAATAGTACGGAGTATGTTTTTATAAAATTAGACAAATCTCATTAATTTGTGTAAATAGACTAAGTTTGTGAGAGATCTCCAATGCTACGATGTGCACTGTGCATATGTAACATGAGAGATAGTCACATAAATATTAACAAATAAATTATCTCTCTCCTTATTTGAATAAATTTATATAATTTCGGTAATTTTTTCTCTTCAATGTCAACCACAATGTCAACATCTAGACGATCTTCTTGACATTGTGAAGAAAAACATACCAAAATTGTACAAAACAATTTATATAAGGAGAGATAATTTATTTGCTACTTTTTCTGTCCCTTAAAACTTTGTCAACTTTCCTTTTTTGGATGTCCCACTAACTTTGCCACTTTCTATTTTAAATAAAGAATTTGTAATTCCAGTCAATTCTCTCTCTTCTGCACAAACCTTCACCACAGCTTTTACTTAATTAATCTCTGTGCCGGTCAAACTTGGCAAAATTTTAAAGAACGAAGGTAGTAATATTTATGTGGCTATCTCTTATGCCACACGTGCACCGTGCACATTATGACATTGGAGATGCTCTGAGTCATTCTTTCAATCTCGAGTTTTTAAATTAATAAAAACAAATTTGGACGATTAGACCTTGCATTATTGTAGATTTAATCTTGTGGAACTTTGCATTACTAGATGACTATGATATTTTACTTGGACTAATTTCAGTTTCAGGCCAAATTAAAACAAACAAACTTAAATAGATTAAACTCATTCAAATTAGACTATACTTAAACACACTAGAAAATTTGAGTCCAATTAAAACATACGACTAACAAAGTCCTTAATGCCCATTTGAACCACATCAATAGCGCTCTTGGATGATGGAATTGGATGCGTACCTTGTTGTCCATTTGGAACAATGTCCATCGTGCATAAAATTGGGTTCGAGTAAACAAACCTTCATAAAAGATCCTTATACGTAGTATACGTTCTTAATGCAACATATTTGAAAATAAAAAATTAATACCACAAAAGCTTAATTCTTAGATAAAATTCTTACATTATAAATAACGATAGTGAATTTATTAAAACAAACAATTAAGTACAACTCGACGAACAGTTTTAGATGCAAAAATATTAATCAATTCTTATAAGGATTTTTTTCTTGAATTGATTTTTTTTGGTTTGGTCTGGTCTGATCATATTTGATCTGGTCTGGTTTGAATTGGTTTGGTTTGGTTTGGTAATTATCTGCTCTCTATGTGTTTTACAGTTGTCAAGGTCTGGTTTAATCTGATATGGTCTGAAACGGAAATAAGTCCAAATAAAAACATCCTAGCATATGTTTTTAATAAATTTCTTCTCAATCGATAACATAGCTAATTTATTCAACCTTCTTAAACATGTTTGGTCGTCAAAATTTCTTTATAAGCTTCAGTTTTTAAACTTCTATCGGCACGTGCTACTATCACGGGTACAACTAACAAGATTGTATATGCAATGCACACATTAGAAAAACATCCATCCATTTCAAATAATCCATCACATTGATCACATGTTTTGTTTCCTCTAGTAAAGATTAAATCAAATAATGAAGAATTTTACAGTTTCAGCTTTTGGTACTAATACAAAGCATATAGATCTCAATTCCCAAATATAAAAATTTCACCACGGCACAACTCTACTTGACTACGTAGAACAAGCAAGAAAAAACTTGTTTTTGAATTTATAAATAGCATTTGTATGTGCATATACTATAAATCCCAACCAATAATATAGAATTTAGTCAATAACTATGGCATAGAAACACATAATTTACTTCATTTCATCATTCCGAAATCCATAATTCATCAAATTAGCGAATCAATATAAAAGCTATGGAGTATAATTTTTTGGAAGCAATGACATATCAACAAATTCGGCAGTTCGGATTTGTACTTCACTACTTAGTTGATAACTCTGTTGTTCAGCTAGTTTTGTTACTTTTGTAGCGAATGATTTAAGCTAGACAACGAGCATGGCCCTTGTTTTTTTATTATATACAGAATATACAATATAAAGGTAGTATTTAAATTTTGGGCCCTAGTGTATTGGGGCCTGAGGTCCAAGCTTGACCGGTCTATATGCGATCCATATGTTGGGGTCCAGCCCGGACCTCAACTTATGTGTGCCTCTCTCTGTGATACTGTACTTTGCAGTTGACACGAAAACACAGGTTCTTGCACCTTGCGAAGTGAATGACTTTGTTTGCTGCAGGGCCTCAGAATGGATCTCCAATGGCACTGCCGAATTGCCGGTTTCTCAGTCAAACCTATGATGAGTGATCACCCAGAAGAAGTGTCTTGCTATGGAGGCAAATCTAGTAGGGACTCTCAAACTCCAAGTTTGCCAAAACTGCTCACAGTTCAAGCACACTGGAAGGTTTCAAACACTGGGGATGGGGAGAATTTTTTCAGCAAAATGGTATCTTGGGCAATAGAGGTAATGGTTCTGATTGCAGGACTTCTTTTTGTCAGCTGATTTTGTGGAGTCTTCTAAGCTGTCAAATGATCCCCCAACGGTTGAAAAGTTGCAGCCTTATACATATGAATCTTTAGACTCTTGGTGCTTCAAGGTGGAATGATTCAAATATGTTAGAAAAGTTGATTTCCAGAACTCCAGAAGAAGAGAGGCTTATTACTTCCGTCCTTTATAACTAGCCCTAGCTAGAGCTCCTTTAATACTACTAATACTTCAAGTCTGGACCAGACTGAAGGAAATAAACTTAAAATTAATACTAATGCAGCCAAAGTGAATAAGGATGCTGCTAGATGAGCTAGTAGGAAAAACCGAACAAGGTCTTCTATTGATTGTACTCGCCCTTCTTATTGATGCAGTATCTCCTCTACATGCAGAAGTTGCATTATTCAAAGCTTTACTCTGATTTTATGAATGGGGTTAACTCAAATATGCAGGTGGAATTCGACTCCAAATTTTTGTATATATGATGACTATCTTCAAGGAGCAGACTTTTGCTCCCATTCAACCAGAAAGGATCAAAACAGTTGAAGCTTTGGCATCTCAAGGTCTTGATATTTCGTCATAACTGTTTATGACTCACCCATTTACTTGCCATGTAATGCTAAACAATCCTACCTTTCAAACTTAGAGGGCACTCCATAGTCCATACTTGAAAACATAGGCTTCTTTCATAATGGGTAAGGCTCCGTGACCCGCCCCCTCTCGTTGCACATATATACACATGTTTTCACTTGCATTTAGCCTCAGAAATAGATCAGACCAAATAAAAACAAACTAACAAATTCAAGAACTAAACCACACCGAGTGATATCAAACCTGAAAATTAGAGTTCAATCGAAAATACAAGCATCAGTGGTGAGCCTAAGCAAAAACATCTTTGTTATTGGATAGAAATGAAATACATCTCCCTTTCTTTCAAAATACTTGTAGCTCCAAGGGATTACTAGAGAGTCTCACACTGCCATGATATTATCATACATTTTGATGCCAAGTTGCTTGACAACCTGGAGGAAAAGATCAAGCTAACTCATGGAGGCTGGCTCTTATTATAGATCAATCATGTTTTCATCATTATCCAAGAGATTATATGAATATAATGGAAAACAACTAGACTGATTTTTATAGGGAAGTAATAAGAGAATCAACTAATATCACCTACTGGACAAACTGGAATGCAAGCTTCCTCTGAAAGGGGTTCTCATCATTAGATCACTTGCAGGCCTGGACATTGCCTTGGCACTGACAATATAGTGCATTTGAAAACAATGTAGGTCAATGTTGATCAAATTTATGGTTGTTAAAAATATAAACATTCAAATACCAAAAATATATATACTCTGAATATTATATCACTTCATTTTGTTCTCTTTAACCCACCTGATAGCTTTTTTGAATTTTATATCATCACTCTTGAATTCAGTCCAGTTCAAAACAAATTCGCCCACAATTTCTGAATACAGACCCCATATACTGACTTAGATTTTTCAAGAACAAACATAAAATTAAAGATATGCCCAAAAAACAACATCATCTTCCTCTTTGCAAAGCCTTCTCTGCAGTTTCCACCTCTTCCAAGATCCTCTGCTTCTTCTTCGCCGGAATCGGCGCCGTCGGCCCAAAGCTTATGTAGTGCCCGGAGACGGCGTTCAGTGCCGAGTAGATGTCACGGAAGGACGCCCGTCCGAGGAGTGCCTTCTCCCTCCGGTACTTCGCCACCCACGTATTCGACGCCTGTCTTAGATCAGCCACCGCATCTACTAAATCCGGGTCCCCCTTTTCTTTCCCCATCGTCGACCTAACTTTTCCGATCACCTCCGTAGTTTCCTTTACGTACTCCTCGTCGGAAGCTGCGCGGGCGGGCAGGGCAGCGGCAAGAGTACTAGAGCAGAAAATCCCGGCGGATAGGGAGATGAGCTCTCGGCGGCTGGAAGTAATGGCATTGCGAGAGCCGGAAGGTATTAATTGGACTCTGCTTCGGGTTATGATCGGTTTAGGTGGCGCGGCGGCGGAGGCGGGGTTGAGTATGGTGGGAGAAGCCATGGGTAATGAGGAGGTTGGGTTCTCGTGTCGGAGAGATGAGGCGTTTAAAGGAGAGGTATAGAAATGTGGAGGGAAGAGTGGCCGATCATGCCACGTAGGACCGTCACCTTATCCGCCTATGCAGTTTACTGGACGAGAAATCACATAGAATCCTATTTGATGAAGCGTTTACTTAATTTATTTTCGAGGACTAAAAATGGAAAAAATCAAAGTCGAGTATCAAAAGTGTCAATGACATAATAGTCAGAGGACTAATAGTGAAAAAAACTCCAGAAGATCTTAACTTTTTAATCTGTAACTTTTAATTATATATAAGTATTAGATCTTAATAATATTAAAATTAGCCCAAAATTTAACAATTGGAGTACAATCTCTTTATTCCCAAAATAGGACTTATATATGTCTCTTCTTCTCTTTATACCCTCTTTCTATAATTTCCAATAGATTTATTTTATTAATAAGAAAATCATAGTTTTATTCATAATAAAAATATAAAAAATAATAAAATATTTATAAATTAATAATGAAAACGTGAAAAAATAAAATAAACATAGAAAAATTTAAAATAAATAAATAAAATATTTACAAAACTTAAAAAGGTCTAAAGAATAAAATAAAATACCTAAAAAATATTTAAAAAATATGCAGTTCACTACCAACGCCTCCTCTACCTCCCAACACCAGTCGCTGGAAAAAAATGTCATCTTGTGTAAAAAATGTCACATTTCTCTGAAAATACCACGAAGATGACATTTTTACTTTTTGAAAATATCCAGCTTTCTCTTCAAAATTGCCATCATGTTGACATTTTCCCACCAACTTGGCAATCTTTTCCGGCGACCGGAGGTGGCGGTGCTGGAAGGTGGCTGAGATGGTGGTTGAGGTCTGTATATTTTTTATTTATTTTTTACGATTTTTATTTTTTATATTTTATAATCATTGTTTAAAAAATACTACTCCCTCCGTCCCATAAAATTCTTTCCACTTTCCTGTTTTGGTAGTCCCAAAAAATTCCTCCACTTACCATTTTTGGACAATTTGTGTGGTTCACATTCATTTCACCTTTTTCTTACACAACTACAACCACACATTTCCACTTTTTTCCACTTTCTTAATCTCCATGCCAATTAAAAGTTGGAAGAATTTTCTGGGACGGAGGGAGTATTAGAAAATAGAAAGGACAAAGGAAAGGGTGGAATAGGAAGAGATGGTCCTATTTTGGGAATTTAAACTTTAAACTCCTATTGTTTCAATTATCCTTTCATGTAGTCCTATTTAGGTCAATCTCCCTTTAATCAAGCATGTCATTTTTTATTTCAACGTAGAATTGTTTAATAATAAGAAAAACTAAGATTGTAGTTACTTTTCTAGTTGTATTGACTGAAATTACTGTAGATGACTATTTTGGCTATTTTTCATATAATTTTCTTTATTTTATTAGTAAAATATATTTTAAATATAATTATTTCATAAATCAGCAGAATAAGTCAATAGAGCCACTTCAGCCACAACTTCATAAATTTAAGTCGATTCAGCCGATTCAGCCGATTTCTGTGTTACCAAACGGGCTCTACATTTGCACATAATTTGTACACATTTATTCCATACATTGTCTAGTTGTTTATGTACATATGAGTTTCTGAACGAGCTGTCTATATATACAGGCAACTAGGGGTGTGTGTACAACAAATGTGCACAAATTTTATGTATAAACGGTTTTCCCCCTAAATTGTTATGCTAATACCCATTTTTTGTACTTCACAATCACTTTCACATTGTGTGAAGGGGACAAGGTGTGAAGTGAATGAGACAATTTTTAAATTATTTGAAATTGAATCGATTCTTAATTAAGGAGGGTGTATTGTATCAGGAACTAGTGGCAAAATTTAAAAGTCCATGAATTTAAAAGGTTAGATGTATTCAATGTTGACTTTTCAAAGTCTACAAAAGTCTAGATGTATTCAATGTAGACTTTTAAAAGTCTATAAAAGTCTAGACGTATTCAAAATTCCGTTCATTCTTATTGACTCTAAAATCATGGATTCTCAGGAATTTTAACTCACTTTTAGTTCATTAATTCTCTACAATTGTATCTTATCCTCACCATTCTTATTGACTCTAAAATCATGGATTCTCATGGATTTCTAGCTCATTCTTAATTCATTAATGCCATGCAATTGTCTTTTATCCTCACCAAAGATTTCCGTGGAGTTTTCTGTTGTCTTCTACTCGTAACAAGTACACATATATCTGGTTGCAAATCTGACTACTTATTTATCCGGGATCACAAGCCGACCAATAAGTCACAACTAAAAAATATATCTAACCAAGCATTCCAGCTCAACTGGTTGTGAGGTTATCGTGTCTAGTGAGAGGTCTCAAGTTCGAAACCCGCTAGGCACATGAGGGTTTGAAACTCAATGGAGTGAGTTTCAATCCTAATCACTCCAGGCCCCCAGGCCCCCAGACGCCCCCTGGAGAAAAAAAACATATCTTACTTAGTATTGTGTTTGATCGTTAAACCGCTAACACATAAAAATATAATTTCAAATTAATAAATATTTAACGATATATAAGCATACAAAATTTAACAAGATAAAAGATGAAAGGAATATAATTATTAAGAAGAAAAGTTTGATTGCGCCTGTGCTTGTAGCACATGCCGCAATAAGTGTAACGTTTGTGTAACAATTAATGTTCTTACTCATTGAGTTGTGTAGCATAACAATTGATCATAAAGAGACCGAGATTTTTGAGCATTTTCGAAACTTTGAGTTTTCTTTTTAATAACAATAAATTTGGATTCTTATGCTTCATTTATTCTTGTAGAACTCTACGTTACTAGATGAATTACTTTTGTTTCATTTATTTATTTAATTTTTTCTTATCATATTATACAAAGGAAATTACTCACGGTAGAACTAAAACATATCATTTTTCTCAAAGTATGATTATATGTTTGATTTTCTTTAAATAGAACTGAATATTACATTTCTACCCCTAATTTAATTAATTAATATAACTAATTCCCTCTAGTTGTCTTGCACAACCAAAGTCATTTTATTGGCGGAGGATCAGTCCGATGATCACGACGGCGAACTCCGGTGACGGAGGCGGATAGGCATGTCGGTAGCGGCGATCAAGGTGAAAAAGTTCATTGACTTTTTAAAAGTCCATGATTAAAAAAAGTCCACCACAATCCATATTCAATACACATCTTTATGTTTACTTTGATCAAATTCAAGTTTATATCGTACTCAAACTCGACTCAAACTCCAAACCAAATTGTGCGGCAGTGACCATTGTGTTTCGGCCGTTACTTGCCGGATGGCGGTGGTCATTGGTGGAGGTCGATAGTTATCAGCCGGAGCGGTAATGGTCATTGTCTCGATGACGGTGGTCATTGTCTGAATGGATGGTCACTGTCATTGTCGCCTAGTCATTATCGGTGTGGTCACGATAGCTGGCGACAGTGGCGAGGTCACTGCGGCGAAAGTCACTTTGGTGGAGGTCACTTTGGCGGGTCAATTCACTATCAGATAAAGTCACTAAGATTTAGAGATTTAGAGTTTGAGTTAAATTTGTTCACAAAGTGTTAATAAAATTATAAACATCATTGGTTAGTTTTTGTCCATCATAAATAGATGTACTTCTGGATATGTAGTAAATTACTGGACGAGTGGCCGATCATGCCACGTAGGACCATCACCTTATCCGCCTATGTAGCTTAGTGGATGAGAATATCACATAGAATCCTATTTGATGTCGTGTTTGCGTCTTGGTTCACACTTCAAGCCTTCAATAGCTGTAATTTATCCTCCCCTAAATTGTGATGAAGAATAATAAGAGCCGTTAGGTGATTCTGTTTTCGACTTATCAGGCTTATTAGTCAACTCCTTAATCAAACCTGTCATTTTTTATTTCAGCATTGAATTATGTAGTAAAAAGAAAAAGTAAGGTTGAAGTTACTTTTCTAGTTGTATTGACTGAAATAACAATCAGTCATACAATGTAGTTTTAGTTTTCATTATAAAGTTCTTGATTTGGGTTGAACATTAGTTGTTGAGGGAAAAAATAATAAAAAAAACCTCTTTCAAAATTTCAGTTTCAAGGAAGTAACATATCTAGTTACTAAAAAGTCAATACTACATGTTGTAACTTATACTCTATGTCAAATAGAATATAGATGAATGAAGGAAATTTGTAAGTATTGTGAAAGTTTACTTGTTAAGTATTGTGAAATATATGCGCACATAAGACTCTGTGTCCTGCTGTTATAACAAATTATTAAGAGCGACCTCACATAAATTTACTACTGAAGTCAATACTTAGTAACACCTAACATATAACGTTTTTGTGATTATTCATAGCCCCTTTAAATTAAAGCTGTTTTAATAATGGTATTATCTCTTTCAGAGAAGTGAGGATTCATCACGCCTAAACTTCTAAGAACAGGATGAATCTGAAATGGGTGTGAGTCATGATATGTGCATTTAATTATATTGGAAATCAAAAGAATATAAGCTACATTTATGCAATTTACACATATGTTCTTTGTAAAAAACGTGTAACTTTGCTAATGATAGAAATAAACATATTGTTTCCCTTGTGAATTTTAACATGCTGAAATTGATGGTGCACTAGTAGTCTCCCTAAATAAAGACTCCTGCATTTTCACGTATGATATTATGTAAATGCTTGAATTTCTCTAAAATAAAGGAGTACACTGAAGATGATATTTTGGGAATACGTGAGGAGTACACTGAAGGTGATATTATCAGTTACTTTGATAAAAAGTAAGTTTATAATCTGAAAGCGAAGAACATATGTTTGATATTATATGGATGTTAGTTAGGTGTGATTTTTTTTCAAAACTATGTACCTCTGATGCATAAGTAGTATTGCTATGAGTTTGTATTAGTAGTTTTTATAATTATATACTACCTTCGTCCCTCTTATATTGGGTAGGAAGAGAGTGACACGATTATTAAGAAAAGTGAGGTTGTGTGGTTGATATTAATTGATAAAGTAAGAATAAAGTAAGAATGATTTAGAACCACACAAACTTTACCAAATATGGTATGAGACAATTTTTGTGGGACTTCCCGAAAAGATAAAATGGGACAATATAAGAGGG